GGAATATGTTATTTATTCTTATTTGTATGTATTACCTTCACATAATCAGATTTTTCCTCTATTTATCCAACCAGATCTTATGAAAGAAGCTGTCACGGAAGGGGAAGAGTTGTTGCCACACAGGACTTCGCAGAGCGCTCTTTGCAATGAACAGAATGATCAACCAAATACGGAGGCACGTGCGCAAGTAATAACGCCTATCAGGAAACTCACCCGGAACCGAGGCTTGATCTTACAGGATCATGTAGTCGAGGAAACTCCTGAGGAGAACCAAACGTCTAAGCGCTGGCGCCTTTTTAGAGATCAAGATTGACCTAGCAATTTCTTGGCATGAGTAGTGTAGGCAAGGCAGAGAACTCTTTGCTTGATGAGTCGGAACTAAACTTAAAACATGTGTTAAATGAAAGGCTTGCTGAAATACTTCGAGAAGAGGAACTCAAATGGTACCAAAGGACAAAGGTTAAGCACCTACTGGAGGGTGATGCTAACACAAAATATTACCATTTGTTGGCTAACAGAAGACATCGGAAAACTCGTATTTTCCAGTTGGAGGATGGTCACACTGTAAAGATGGTGATGCTCAGTTGAAGCAGCATATTACCAATTATTACAAGAGTCTTTTTGGTCCTCCGGTGAATTCTTTTATTGAGTTAGATAAACACTATGTTCATGACATTCCACAAGTCTCCGAACTGGAAAATGAGCACTTGACAGATGCCTTCTCGGAATCAGAAGTAAGGACAACAGTGTTCCAAATGGGACATAATAAGGCACCAGGCCCAGATGGTTTTCCACTAGAGTTTTAACAGGTCTTCTGGGACTTATTAAAAGATGATCTGATGGTTATGTTTATGGAATTCCATGAGGGAACCTTGCCTTTGAATAGTCTCAACTTTGGAACGATCAACTTTGGAACGATAATTTTGCTACCAAAAAAGAAAGATGCGAAAGTGATTCAACAATACAGACCAATATGTTTGTTGAATGTTTTTTTAAAATCTTTACCAAAGTTGCAACTAATAGATTATCTACTGTTGCCCAGAAGATTATTAGACCAACACAAACAGCATTCCTTCCAGGTAGAAACATTATGGAAGGCGCAGTAATAATCCATGAGACAATACATCAACTTCACTCGAAAAAACAAGATGGGATAATTTTCAAGATAGACTTTGAAAAGGCATATGATAAAGTAAAATGGAGCTTTCTACAACAAACTTTAAGGATGAAAGGTTTCTCACAAAAATGGTGCTCTTGGGTGAAGCAGTTCACACAAGGAGGAAATGTAAATATTAAGGTGAACGATCAACTTGGTTCATACTTCCAAACGAAAAAAGGTTTAAGGCAAGGTGACCCAATGTCTCCAATACTATTTAATATAGTGGTAGATATGCTGGCTATTCTGATTGCTAGAGCAAAGGAAGCAGGTCAGGTAGAAGGGGTCTTACCTCACCTTATCCAAGATGGCTTGTCCATCCTCCAATATGCGGACGACACAGCAATATTTATGAGCTATGATATTGACAGAGCGAGAAACATAAAGTTAATTTTAAGTACTTTTGAGCAACTCTCAGGGCTTAAAATTAACTTTCACAAGAGTGAGATCTTTTGCTTTGGTAAGGCAAAGGATCATACGGTGTTTTACTCGCAGCTGTTTGGATGTGGGGTGGGTAAGTTTCCTTTCCGTTACCTTGGTTTACCTATACACACTACGAAGTTGAGTAATAAAGATTGGCAGACAATCGAAAACAGAATTGAGAAGTTTAGTGGTTGGAAAGGCAAGTTCCTTTCGGTAGGAGGTCGCTTGGTTTTAATAAACTCGGTGCTCTCTAGCTTACCGATGTTTATGATGTCATTTTTCAAACTCCCAAAAAGAGTTTTGGAAAAGATTGACCGTTTAAGATCAAGATTCTACTAGCAAAATGACCAACACAAGCGCAAATATAGGCTGGCTAAATGGGAAATTTTGTGTCAACCAAAAATCCAAGGTGGCTTAGGTATTCAAAATTTGGACTTACAAAACAGATGTCTGTTAAGTAAATGGCTTTTCAAATTGCTAAATGAGGATGACATGTGGCAAGAATTATTGAGGAATAAATACATAAAAGATAAGACTCTAGGGAGTTGTACTAAAAAGCCAACTGACTCTCATTTCTGGAAAGACTTGATGAATGTTAAAGATACTTTCATGGGTTTGGGTTCATTCAGAGTAAAAGACGGATCACAAACTCATTTTTGGATTGATGCTTGGTTGGGTGATCAGCCACTAAAAGATAGATTTCCTGCGTTGTTCAATATTGTGAGAAGAAAACAAGATTCGGTGGCAAGAGTACTTGCTTCAGTCCCACTTAACATTTTCTTTCGCCGCAATTTAGTGAGTAGAAATCTAAGGGACTGGCTTAGAATTGTTGCTTCTATACAAGATGTGAACTTACCGGGGGAAAGAGACACATTTGTTTGGGCTTTACATTCATCAGGTACCTTCTCGGTTAAATCTATATATGCAAGTTAATTAACAATGGTGTCAGAGTGTCACAAGATTTATGGCAGATCAAAATTCCTACAAGAATAAAGATATTCTTGTGGCACCTAAAAAGAGGTGTAATCCTAACCAAAGATAACCTTGCAAGACATAACTGGAATGGTGACAAAAGTTGTTGCTTTTGTCACTCTACAGAGACTATTCACCACCTTTTTTTCGAATGTGCTTATGCCAAATTTCTGTGGCGCGCTGTACACTTATTATTTGGAATAGCACCTCCTCTCAACATAGACGATTTATTTGTTACTTGGTCTAAGATGGGTGGTGTTATTTATAACTCATTGTTATTAACGGCAGCAACGGCTTTATGTTGGACAATTTGGTTAACAAGAAATGAAGTGGTTTTTGACAAATACAGACCAAAAACTTTTTTGCAGGTGCTCTTCAGGGAAACCCATTGGCTACGGCAGTGGGCAAGACTGCAGCGGCGTGATGATCTACGGGACCAGCTGACTCTTGCTGGGCAGCATTTGGAGATTTCAGCCCTAGATTTCTTTAGTTCCAGTGGATGATTATCTAATAGGTTTTTTGGTCTTTCTTAGTCAAGACTTCTCTTCATGTTTTGTTTCCCAAAATCTGGATATGAGCTTCTCAACCTTGAAAGTCGTGTGCTGTGAACTTTGTAATAATGGACCTGATTCTACCTCGATAGATGAAGCCGGATATAAACTATCATTTATCTAAAAAAAAAAAAAGGCAGGCAGCCTGCCTTGTTTTGTATGTAAAAAAATGACTTAGCTTGAGTAGCTTAGCTTAACCACTAGGTCTGTAGGACAGTTGTGCATGCTGTCTTAGCATCGCTCGTGCATCTCTGAGTAGAAGGGAATGTAACTAAATTCCAATTATTTGAACTTCCGTTCGCATCTTACAACTGCATAATGGCTCGTTGTGGCTCGGTTTGGTCTGAATAACTAGCTCGTTAACAGCTTGAGCTAGTTTGTTTAGCTTGTGAGTTAGTGGCTCGTTAACAGCTTGAGCTAGTTTCTTTAGCCCATTATCATAACAAGCTCTAAAAGTTAAGTTGGTTTGGCTTGGCTCGTTAACAGGTTGATCTAGTTTGTTTAGCTTGTGAGTTAGTGCAACAACGCATGGATAGAACTCGCTAACATAGAATTGTGACATTGTACATCGGTTATTCTATACTTACACAAGCCAACATCAATTCAATTGAATTCCATGTACACAGACAGCACACGTCACTATATTGATCCTGAGCTTTCTCAAACCATGTCAGTATAATTACTTTGGACAATCAAAGCCCAGTTCCACGTGTATTCCTATATAGAAGCAGAATCTAGTCTACAGAGGTTTTGGAATCTTTGATACATACATTTCTATGGATATGGAGGCAGCCTGAGGCTGATTTGTGAATCCTTGTCAACGGTCACGAAGTGGTTGCTCTCGTCGGCTCCTGACTCAAATTGGTTAAAGAGTTAAGACGAGCCATTTTGATGTTCATGTCGGCTGATGAATGGTGATGTCTCATTCTTCAATGCTTGACGCCTTAAATTTGTTCTTTTACCGTACTTTTGCTGTCCTGCAAGAACAAGCAACCCACAAACACCAACAGAACAGAACCAGCACCCGCATCGCAGCTCAATGCTACGAAACGGCTCCGCGAGAAACGACATCACAATCGAAGCTGAAACCAACCTACGGTGGCTTCTCCGCTTTCGGCGGCTCCTAGAGTGAAGCTACAGTCTGGCTCTTTTTTTTTTTTTGCCAAGAAGGGCCTATGTTTAACAATTGGAACCGACCATAACAAAATAATCACAAGCTCTGGCACACAGTGATACTATACAAATCAGCAGCATCAACGCTTCTCTGCTTGAATGTGTCCTAGAAACATACTACTCCCTCCGTTCTTAATTACAAATCGCTTTGACTTTTTTAGTTCATCTATTTTGCTATAGATTTATTATTATATCCAGATGCATAGCAAAATGGATGTATCAAAAAAGTCAAAGCGACTTAGCGCGTGTTTAGTTTCACGAAGTTGGAATTTAGAGCTACTGTAGCACGTTCGTTTTTATTTGGCAATTAATGTTTAAACATGAACTAATTAGGCTCAAAACGTCCGTCTCGCAATTTCCCACCAAACTGTGCAATTAGTTTTTTTTTTCATCTACATTTAATACTCCATGCATAGACCGTAAACATTCGATATGACAGGTACTGTAACACTTTTTGGGATTTTAGGGTAAAACTGAACACGCGCTTATAATTTAGAACAGAGGGAATCCCTAAGTAGTTCATAATAGAACATTCAAGAAGAAATGCGGAAAACAAATTTAGTTGGCCAATAGCACAGGCCTAAACAAGTCCGCAAATTCAGTAGTAGCCCTGAAGTCAGCAAATCAGTAGCGCAGGCCTAAAGAAGTCAGCAAATCCATCATCAGAGACCAAGTTTAGAGTTACATTGACTAATGACTACGAGGTATGAAACATGACATGGATCTCAAGCAGTAGCAGGCTTGCGCAGCTCATTGCCACCATGGGCAAAGTGACACTTGTCGCCAAAAGAACACGATCCTTTTGCGAAGTTCTCACACATCTTGGTCTTGAAGTTGCTTCCTGTGCCTCCACCACGATGAGTTCCGCCAGCTGGGTTCTTGGCCTGCAGAGGGGCATTGCCACTGATGCTGACAATCAGCTCACTGACCATAGCACTAGCATTCCTGATCTGATCAAAGGTGCCCTCAAGCTCAATGTTTTTCAAGCTGGTGTCTGATTCATGGTCCCGGATGGCCAGCTTTGCCCCGGTGACTCGAGATATCTGTTTTGTGTGAACTCCACCCCTCCCGATGATGCCACCTGCAAGGGATGCATCAACACTGATCTTGGCTGTGGCAGAAGCGCCGAAGCTAGCTGGAGTGGCCAAGCCAGGGTTGGCCATAGGTGGAGGTGCAAAATGACCAGTGGGTCTTGGTCCCATGCGGGGTGGCATATAGCTGTCCATCAACATAGGCTTGCCAAGCTCCCTTTCACCATGTGCAAAGTGGCATTTGTCACCCCATTTGCATCCCTCTGCAGTGTTGTACTTGTTGCACAAGCAAGTCTTCACGGTGCGTGTAGGGGGCCCATCCATTGTCGTTCTTCCAGGAGGTGCAATTGTTGTGCCACCCAGGTTGGTCATTTTTGAAACTGCCTGGTAGCCACCAGGGAAGTAATGGAGAAAATGGCAGCCCTCACCAAAGGGACAACCAGAGGTACTGCACGATGAGAATATTATCAGGATATATGCAACTGAAGAAGCATATGAATAATGAATATATGATTACAAATGATGACAACTAGCGACATTCTTAAATGTAAATCACTGAGCATAGTGATGTACTACTATGGACGGACATTAGACATTAGAATAATCTCAAGAAAAATCTAACATGACTTAACCACGAACATTTGCCATGCTGTGAAAATAAATATTGGGTAGATACATTTCAGATGTTGAGCTTAAGGATATTGCTACCATGTGCTCTAGATCCCAACGTTGAACTTTAGCAATACATGATGGTTAAACAAGAAAAAATGTAAATACAATAAATATGGGCAGTGAACATTTATTGGAACAGCTACTGATGTAAGTAATAATTTCAAACTACAAGGTAGCAAAGTTATCCCTGCAGAACCAAATGTTAGGAAAACTTTGTAGGTGGAGAAGGATATAGGTGGCACAATTTCAAGATGGGTGTTCGATTGCAGTTCCCAAGTCATGTGCTCAAACTTCTTTTTTCTCAATTTGAGCAAATGGCACTGCATCATGGCAGCAACTGATTGTTCATCTGAAAAGGGTTAAATATCCTTATTGTCTTATACTGCTGTGGCATCTTTCAAAGGTTCATGTGCATTCCAATTTTACTCCAGTAATGTTCTTAAGCTGGATTAGGAGAACCTGTAGCACAATATTTCTTAACTATTCTGTTAGCAATAAAAGATTCTTATAACAAATGCAAGTAAGTTTTAATTGAAATAAGCAGCTATGCAGAATGAATGTTACCAGGTGAAGTTCATTTTAAGTTGGATTATAACCTGAAAAATTTGGTGCATGGCTTCGATTTGCTTCCTACACCACTTTGAAATGACTCCGCTTCTGTTACATCAAATTAATTATGTGCGCCAGGTTAATATGTTGCTAATTTACTAATATCGGTATACAATAATGAACATTAATGAGGTCTTGTCTACATCAGCATAGTGCATTAATTAATTAAAACGCAAAGTGGACTTTCAGCTTGTATCTGTGGCCAAATGCCCAAATTGTCGACTGGGCAGCAGACACAGCAAGCCAACAATAATAATAATAAAAACTCATAAACCTCGGTTATCGAAAGCGAAGACCCGCGCACTATATGAATGATTTCAGGCTAAAATGCAACAAATAAGCCCAATGCCGAACCCGAACGATACAAAATTGCTAACATACGAAAAATTATTACGCACCGAGTTCACGGAACTTGGGGGAACTGGCGATTCTCGTTTCACCAATCAATGGATCAACAACCCTAGATCCGAGACAGCTTCCCCCGAAATCCCCAAACCCTGACATAGCAAACAGCTCAAACCCCACTAACCCTCGAGGCCCCGAGGCGCAACGCCCTACGAAAGTTGATCCGCTAAACGAGGAAACACGTCCGGAGAGGAACGGGGTTCGCGGCGAGAGCGAGGGCTGGCTCCGCTCCACTCACCTCGCGATCGCTTCCCGCCGGCGGAGGCCCCTTTGGCGCCGTCGCCCTTCCCCCTCTTGCGGCCGCCCTCCATGGATGTTTCCGCTCTCGCGCCTCCGTTGGCTCGGTTAGGGTTTGCGTTGCGAACCGCCGCGGCCAGGAGCGTGTGGCCTTGCGGTTGCGGAAGAAGAGCCGGCAGCGGTGAACGAGGGGAAGCCAGAAGCGTGTGGTAGTGGGGAGGAAGCACTGAAGCGACCGATGGGCCGCGGATTAAGTGGGCTAGGCCTACCTGTCATCTCAGCCCAAAGAGCGAGCGATCCGCGGTGCCTGACCACCTTGTTCTTCTTGCTTTGCAGGACCGTTCCACCTGTTCCGTTCAGAACTAGAAACACAAGCGCGGCTTTGCCGCGCCCTTGTTGTAGAGTCCCAGCCTGTGGATGATGAATCCTTTATTCTGCAAATGGGCATATAGGATATTAACATTTGTTTGGGCTCATGTTTATTTCGTTGTATTTAATAAATAGAAAATGTCAAATTCCATTTGCACAGGGATACCACGGTCATTGGAAATTATTAAGTGGCTAAAATTTCACAAAAATTCATGTGCTTCAATACATTCAATAATGCCTGGTGGTTCATTTTTTACGATAGTTCCCATGCAAATTATTTGCTTATCATGTGCCACTTGGCTGATGAAATATGGTCTCTCGGAGTTTCATGATTGCAATTGTGAAAACTGAGTCACATGAGATTCTTTAAGATGTAAACAATCAATCGTACGGAAAGGATGTTTTTTTTTATAAAGAACTGAAAAGATGTTGAAAATAGACAAGCCGGTTGAAGTATTGCTTTTTGAGATCTCCGGTGTTACTCACATGGAGAAGTTACAAAGCTTGATAGAACTAAACATTGGGTTCATGAATTGAACTATTATTGTGACAGCAGCTGTTACAAACCTGAAAATAGTACGTGCACATACAGATCAGATGAACTACTATTAGAATCTCTTCACTGAATGCAGACAACTTGACTTTCAAAACTAATGAGTAAATGACCCATAACACATACTGCACATACTGAGTACAGATAGCTCCCGTATTTCTTGGAGTCCGTCAGGGAGAAAGAATAATAGGCGCTTTTGCAAATTTCTACTGCATGTTGTGGCACCATAATAGGCGCTTTTTGCAAATTTCTGCTTCATGTTGTGGCACCTTACAGCACAAAATCTCCGCTACAAACCCAGTGAGAGTCACTATGGTTTTGGCCTTTTGGGTGGCTACCATAGCAAAGGACATCTTTAGATCTTGAAGCTTGTGCAATTTGCCGTTGAATGATAACTTTATCCATAGCCTCGAAACTTCAATAGGCCATGAAGAGGACGGGGAGCAGTTTGCTTGCTTGGTGTGGGGCTAGTATAGATAGCCCTGCCATTGGCTCTGTTGTTAATTGTTGTATTCGCCACTTCCATCCTGGCCTCATTGGCCCTAATCTTCAGCAAGCCTGCAATTAACATTCCAGTAGTAATATTCAATCTGAAATTTAAGCTGTAATTAAATTTGAATGTAATACTTACATAGATCAATTTGGTAGAAATTCTTAATGCTTTACCGTGTAGTAGTCAGGAGGCAAAGAACATCTTTATATATTTAATATCATTTTATACAATAATGGCATAATCTAAAATCTGAGGTCACTACTACGTACCCAATTTCAATCTATGTGCACTGCGTGGACAATACCATGGGCAGTGCGTGGAGATACACAAAGGGGCTGCAGATACTGTTATAAGGACAACACTGTCCATGTGTTGCTACATAACAATTCTCGTTCAAATCTGTCTTTTATTTCTTTGTTCAGGCCTATGAATCGAATGCTAGGCCTCGTTTAGATTGAAAAAAATTTCAACCCGATGAATAGTAGCACTTTCGTCTTATTTGGTAAATATTGTCTAATCGTGGACCAACTAAGCTCAAAAGATTCATCTCGTGATTTCCAACTAAACTGTGCAATTAGTTATTTTTTTTACTTACATTTAATGCTCCATGCAAACGGCTAAAAATTGATGTGATGGAGAGAGAGTGAAAAAACTTGAAATTTTGAGGGTATCTAAACAAGGCCCTAACATATGAATAGCTTAGAGGTTCCATCCCATCAAAGCAGCAAGAATATTCATATGGTCTCTATACGGATAATGGATTAGTTATTAGTAGCAGTAAATGCAGCACCTCTAAGCCCAAAGCTAGTTTGGAGTATTGTTAAAACTCAGGAAACGAAATTAAATGAAACTTTGTATGGTTGTATCTAATTGGTCTGCCAATGTCTACCATGCTAGTAAGAATTACCAGGATGAACTACATTACTGTATTAGCTAAGAGAGAATTCGAAAAAAAGTCAGCAATGGATATAATCTTAAATTATTCCTTTCAGCAAACACACGTAATAATTTTCAACGCTGAGCAAGCATTGACTTTATAGAGGGGCTACTGACTTTATCTCTCTCACACACACACACTCACTTTTGAGTTATAGTTACCTAGAATTAGTGCATACTCTCTCTCTCATAAATTATCGATTATCAATATGTGTTATTATTCACCAGAATGCTAGATGAGTGGTACTGAGATTATATTCTTACTTTAGTTTAGGATTGAAAGGACATTTATACAAAGGGTCTGTTCGCTTGTCTGAATTCTGGAGGAATCTGGATGGTTTGGAGGAATACTGGAGGAATCTGTGAGAGAAAAACACTATTCTGAATGAAAAAATAAGCGGATCAAGCCGGGTTTAAGGGCACACGAACGGGCCAAACTTGAAATTCTACATTTTTATCTATTACCACTTCATCAGTATTTAAAAGTGTAGAAACCTTCTTCCTTGCGCTGCCATGCTCTAAACAACAGTTCTTTTTGCAGCCTTAAAGGCAAAAGCTTGAGCCCGTTGACCCCCCGATAACATTACGGAGCCACTCACCAAGACATTATATCCACAAACCCATGCCAATTCGTTGCAGCAAGGAGATGGATTATGAAGAACCTCATCTAACAACAGAGAAAAGAGGAAGGGTCTGTGCTGTATACCTGTTCTCTGGATATGGCGTGAAACAAGGCTTTGCAGATGGTGCGAAATCCCGGCATGTTTTCTGCAATTGCCGCTTTGCCTCTAGTGGCACGCAAAGCATCCAACACCATGGGGGCGTTCATCGAGCAGCTACTCCTTAGGGGCTCATCGACGTCGGCCATGCCCATCTAGCGCGCCAGGCGCACAGCTGCCTGCCGGGAACTTTGTGTCGCTGGGCCACGAAAGTTCGCGAAGCACACAAAGGTTGGCACGTGCTCGGGCTCCTCGGACGCGCCGCGGACGCCACTGCGTCCTAGAGTCGTCGTGGTAGATATGGGCACCCCCGAGCTGCATGCCGCCCTCGCCGTAAGGCATCCGCTTGGCCCACCCCTTGAGCAGTGCTACACCATATGCGCCTAGCTTCACCCAGGCAATTCCCTATGTGGCTCGACGGTTGTCGCTCCACGGCGCCGCCCGTGGCACAAGGCTTGTCTATTGGTCCACTGCTCGAGCGCCGCATCGCCGCGCGCGTCTAGCATCAGCCCCCCATCTAGCGCTTGTCTTCCACGCCTCCATGAGGAGCGCGAGATGTGGGGAGAGGGAGAAGTGATGAGCACGACGACCGGGGCGAGGTCCAGGAGGAGGACGGGTGTCATCGAGCTGTGGGCGGGAGCAAGGCCGTCTTCCAGGCTGCGCACGATGGCCGCGGCGGCGGGGAGAGGCCCTGGCCAGGGAGGTCGAACGCGGGGGATGACGGGAGATAGCCGCGCTCAGGACGAAGGATCTGGAAACGTAGCTCAGCCTGGGCACTTTTTACCCGCAAACCGTAAACCGAACCGAACCGAACCGCACCAAACCGAAATATCGGTTTGTTCGGTTTTCTGTTGTCGGTTTGGTTTATGGTTTTGCATTGTTCGGTGTTCGGCTTCGGCTTCGGTTTTCTACTCAAACCGAACCGAGGAACCGAACAAACCGAAGTGCATGCTGCAGACCAGAAAACTGGAAACACCTCCGTCGAGTCATCGACCGTCGCCTCACGCCCTCAGTCCTTCACGTCCCATAGTTTGACGGCCCATCAAGACGCAAAGGAAACCCCCATGGCCCCATCCCGTAGCTCAGCGCGCAGAGGCAGCGCCGCAGCCGCTCATCCCGCTCTCTCGGACGCTCGCCATTCCCTTCCCTAACCCTAAATCGTCGAGTGGCGGCCAGCGGGCGACTGAAGCAGGTCACGGCGAGCCGACGAGGAGAAGGGAGGCAGGAGGCGGAAGGCTGAGAGCACAGTCGCAGCCTCGCAGGGACTAGGGAGGAGGCGCGGCAGGCGGCCAGGCACCCAGCAACACCCTTGTGAAGTTCTCCGACCAAGACAACGGTGGCGCGGACGGAGCAGTCCTCCAATGTAAGTTTAGATCGAGCTTCAATTCTTCTTATGGTCTTCTCCTCTTCTCCTTGCTGTTGTTAATTCCTAATTTGAAACATTTCGTTTCTAGATGGGGGACATAGATGAAATTGTTGCTTGTGAGATTAATCAGACTCAAACTCAAGAAACTAAAGCTGGAGCGTCAACGACTGGAGTGGTAGATGCAAGCAAGGAGCAGCAGGAGAGCAAGGATGGAGAGAAAGAGGATGAAGAATCCAGGAAAAGGAAACACATGGCTCTAAGATCTGATGTATGGGATAGTTTCAGCAAGGTCAAACTTGATAATGGGGAAGAAAGAGCCAAGTGCAAGTGGTGTTAAAAGCTGTTTCATTGTGGCTCAAGAACAAATGGTATGTCATCCTTGAAAGCTCATCTGAAAATTTGCAAAAAGAATCCAAACAAACTAGTAGTTGATAATCAAGCAACTTTGCAACTGACACCATGTGCTGGCACAAGTAGTATGGGTATTGTAACCACTTGGAAATTTGATCCTGATAAACTTAGAAGGATTTTTGCTGAGATGATAATTGAAGATGAACAACCATTTATGTTATCTGAACGTTCTGGTCTTAGGAAATTAATGGCAGAAGCATGTCCACGGTTTATTCTGCCATCTAGAA